ATTATTACTTTTACGTGTGCCCTCCTTACTGTTCCCCTTTGAAGTCTACCACTTTTTCCTTTAATGGTTGCGTACGTCACTCTCTTCGTTGTCACAATTACAGTTCTCCGTCTTCCCATACCGTTCTTCCTTATTGTTTGCTTATCCTTCGTACGTATTAATTGTTTCAAAAGATTTTGCTGCAGAGGACACTTACCTTTTTCCTTCATGGAAGGACAAAAATGGGTAAGGAAGCCAAGGCGAGGCCGGGCTTCAGGTACCATTGTTTGGAAACTTCTTTTGGCGGAGGTGAATGATTCGGAAGGTCCAGGAGGGTTAGATATGTTGACTATATAATATAGGACATAAATGCGCCAAGGGGACTGGGATTATCCCTCCTCAACTTCGGCATTCAGTAAGGCCATGCTCATCCACTGTGGTTCCACGCTCCGTTACTGCCGGCGGAGCTGTGCTTTAACTAAGACAGTTCTATTACATTAGCAATGGTACTATAAAACCCACTTTTTCAATGACTTGGGAACGGGTCATGAGTTCCGATACGTGTCACTTTCCCGCTTCTGAAGCCGGAGGCGCCTAGATGCTGACGTCAAGAGTTATCATTGGGGTAGTGAATTTTAATTCTGATGCTGAAATTGGGTATTCTATCCCATTGGCTTCCAGAATTTATAACACCGATGATAATTCAGCATAACACGTCTACTTTGTGCGACTGATTTAACTAACAACCTTTTATAAGACGCGGTCTCATGTTCTGCCGCCGATCATTTTTCTAGGCATTCAGCAAAGCCCTTTTCCCACGCAAATTAAGAATTTGTCTACTCTACTCTACTTTTTGTTATGACTGCGATGAACCAACCATTCATATTGCCAAGAAAAAGCTCCGCCTCGCTAATCGGCAATGCAGTATTTCAGACAACTCCTAACTTTCATTATCTGGCGCCCTACCCATTTGACTCCTTCCCTGTGACAGACTTCTATTATGGGTTTACACTATCTGATCTGGGCGACCTTTTAATCTAAGGATTTGGTTTATTCCCGGAGGTCTACAAGTGCTCTTCCTGGAGCGTCATTAGCTATACGAGAGAACTCTCAATCCAACTATGCCCACTGCCATTACCATAGCGGAGGGTACTCTTAAGACAATTTTACTGCCTCCTGGACGTACCCAAAATGTGTTCTTGTCTGACGATCTCCCCTTTATCTACCTGTTTCAGACCCCCGACCATGGAGATCAAGGTGCCCACACGCCGTGAGCCCTGCTTCGACGGGTTGGCGCGTCTCTCGGAGAACTTGTTCGTTGTCAAGTGTGTGGAGGAGGGCGAGCTGTATATTATCGACTTCTCTCAGGTACTTTTCAGCATGTTATCCACGTTCCCCATCCCGCTTAAACCACGCCCAGTCCGCATTTTGCTGTCCGGTCTACTTCGATAATGCATTTACGCCGCCTGAGGGTGGCTCCTCGTCCAGACATGTGCAGTCCAAACAGTATATTTCTTAAACTAACTTTCGTTTTTTTCCCGCTTTATCTAGCTGCTACAGAGGAAAAAGCGAACTACCGCCGCGAAGAAGGTTGTCCCCGCTGAAGTCCTCGGGCAGCTGCGTTGGCAGACCACGGAGGAGATCTACATTAACGTCACTGCCCGACCCGGTCTGGGTGCTGTTGTCTGTGGTGACAATGAGGGCACCATTTGGCTCTACGATCTGCAGGCGAATGTCCGAAGCCAGAAGGATGGAAAGAAGTTTAAACTGAAGCCCGTCAAGGTTCGTACCACTCTGTCTGAGATCCCACCTATCGAAGAGATTCAGAATGCTAGAGCTCTACTGGCCCAGCGTTTCCGATAGTATTCGTTTAGATAAGTGTGATGCCCAATTATTGCTTGGAAGAATTATCTCCTATATGAGAATTTTAACAAATAGATGAATCCGAAAACGAAGGAAAAAGTGCCGGCTTTTTAAATATGGCTTTTTCTGGGCCAGATCGCCCTATCTGCCTGGGAAGCTTCTCTCTATAAGACCAACTTGCGAGTTAACGAGATTCAGCTGCATAAGCTTATCACTAATAGGATCTATCCCATGGGTATCATCGCTGAACTACTAGGATCGTTTGAGTAGTACCTTTGCACGAAAGTTTACACATTTCGACAATTATCTCATGGGTTATATTTTGGGCCAGCAACTCTGGGTATTTTTACCCACATTTGTGCTCCGGGTTCCGATGGCATGTCTTTCCTAGCTTAAGAGTTGTCTTAAGTTAGTTGAATGCCCTGTAATTGTCCTAGCGCGTGCAGTCGAGATGAAACACTGGACACTATTCCCACACCGTGGAACTTGTTGTTTTGCAGCGCTTTTTTCGCTCCCTTTGCACTTCTAACGCCATTGATTTTGGCCTCGAGAAGTTTAATTTGAAGAACAGCAGACACCCTAGCGATGTTTACATTTTGACAGAGTATAACTTTCGTCTACTTGTCATTAAACAGCCATAACCCTTCACATGTCCTCATTGTTTGATTATAGATTCTGGAATGGCCAGAATGTAGCGTTGGGGGTAACAGGGAAGATGACGTTCAACTCAAAGAGAGCATTACCTCGGGATTCAAGAATCCTGTCATCAACGCCACCGACATCAGTTCTGATGGTGCTTATCTAGTCGCCGTGACGGATAACAACCTCGTTTGTATTTGGAACTTTTCTGGGTGATTGTGGGATGTTTATCTTTCACTAAACACCCGCATCCTGCTCATTGTACTGTGCGTTCACTATTTTCTACTAACTGTGACCCACATTTTGGCATTTGTGTTTCCTATCGTCCCACCCCCCCCTCCCCCCCTGAGTTTTATGACCCCGCT